ACGGAATTTTAAATCTCGCCCCGGAGAATCGTTTTTCCCTCTCTTCTCTCTCTCTCTTTCTCGCTCTCTCCTTTTTTCGGCCGTCTTAACGACATTGGTATTCGGCTCGCCGTTTACTTTCGATCGGTGTGCAGGCACGCGCGCGCTCCTACCAAATTCGAACGCGGCGTGACACAATCCGTGATGCGGTGATTTCAATCCTTCGGATCATCCTAGTTATATATTTATTTTGGAAGCGGTTTGGAAATTTTTTTCAAAGATGATTCGATTATAGTCACTTTTAAATTTTTCTCTTCTTTCGAGGTTTTGTAATTTTTCTTTTTCGCATTTTCGTATTCGCGAACGATAATTTCTCTTCTACAATTCTTCTTTTCTTTTTAATAGAAAATTTTCGTCCTTTTTGCGTGTGAATTATTAGTAATATTAGGTTTTTTCATTCTCCATATTCGAATTACCAAATTCTCTTCATCTCTAATTTATTTCCATTAAAAGAAAAAAATCTCTTCCCTTAAAGTTCTTCACGGAGAAAAAGAATTAATCTCTTCCTTTAATGATTCCAATAAATATATTTTCAACTCTCTTCACTTATCAAAGAGATTCAAAAATCTTCTCCTCATTTTTTGCTCAACTTTTCACTCCCACAACTTCTTCTTCTTTGTTTCCAGTCCGAACCCGTCAACTCGGTGAACGAGCTCGAGGACGAGGAGGTGGACGAGCAACAGCCCCAACAATCGGGCGAATATTACTTGGCGCTGCCGGACGGCCGTCTGCAGCGCGTCCGCTACGTGAGCCGTCAGAACGTCGAGGCGATGAAGTACTTCGCCAAGATCCGGGCCGAGAACGTGGAACCGCTCCGCGGCCCGATCTACGCCTACGCGCCCCTCCAAAAACTGCAAATATTCCCGGCCGGCCTCCAACTGGCCGTGAGCCCCGTAGCGCCCCAATCGAAACCGCAAAAACTCGAGATCGAGCCCGTCGCCGCCCAGGTCCAGTACCAGTACGACAATCCGTCCGCGGTGCTCCCGTTGTCCGGTTACCAGGCGGCCGCAGGTGAATCCAGATATTTGCTCACGTTGCAGTAGGAATGAAAAGGGAATTATTCATTATATATCCGTACGTGTATCTTGACGAGGATCAACGAAAGCTTCTTGATCTTAAATTAAGACGAGGATTGATTGTGAGTGTAGATAGGAAGAGATGAATTGTATCTTAAGTAATAATAAAGATTAATTGTAATCAGTTTTTCTCCCAATTTTATCTTTATTTTAGAAAATCTCGATTTTTAAAAGAGGACTATACCTTCTTCCTATATAAAATGAAATTTCTCTTTGGAATCTCCAAGAAACGTATATCCTTGTATACATTCCTTATTTAACGGTGAATTCAAAGTGGCAATTTTATAATGGTAATATTAATTTATAATAGAAAGCGTTTCTCAATCCCTTCGATCGGCCAGCAAGCTATAAATAACGATAACCACGGTTATTAATTCCTCTTTTTCCAACAAACGAAACCAACAAGAGAAAGAGAGAGAAATCGATTACGAGAAGTTACACCGTATATACCCGCATACTTGAACCAGCCATATATACACCACCAACCATGAAAGTCTCGAATCAAACGAACCGCCTTTATTCGAGTTACGTTCCGCACGTACACACGTATAAGTAAACGAGAATAGAGAGAAGACTAGGGAGAAGTAGGAGGCGGTGGTATCGGGAGAACGTAATGGGAGAAATCCTGCGAAAGAATTTTCTTAGCCACGGCACGTGGACGCGAGCGAGCGAGCGAGCGAGTGAGCGAGCGAGCGAGAGAGAAAGACAGAGCGAGAGAGAGAGAGAGGGAGAGCGCAGAAACGCGGATGTGTGTTGGTTGGCATGTCGACGCGCCTAACCGCAAAATTCTAGAAATTTAATATCTCGCCCGAGTCTGGCGGGGTTGGCCGTTTCATAAGTTCGCTCCGACACACAACCAATCCCTCGTCAGGAGGATCCTCCTCGAAATTCTACGGCCAACGGCTCCAACCGCCCGAATGTTGTTCTCCCTTTCTCTCCTCGTTCCTCCTCGCGCTTTTCATCCTTGTGCGCCGCAGCTACCGCCGCGCCGCGGCCAGTTTTCTTCTCCCCCCCTCCCCGCCTCTACCATCAAATTGGGAAAA